CATCGGAATTTGTATCATTCGCCGTGAGCAAATGATTTCTGCTCGTTTCTTCGTCAACCAATCCATATCAATTACCACATCAAAGTTATGAATATCCATCGGAATCAAATCGACCGTGAAGTCATGGTCATCTAAGTCTAATTTATAGTCTTTATAAACTTTATCAGCTACGAGTGTTACTTCGTTCGCAATATCGACATTAAAAGGTTTTTCAAGCATGATTGGCACATAATCGAGGTACTGAGTATAATAAAGTGACACACAAGAATTCGTAGCTCCCGCGTCAAATAAAATACATGCAGGTCTATCATTGAGAAGGAAAATACCTGTTATGACGTTTGGTTCCTTCATTGCCTCCTCTGCTGTGATTTGAAAAGCCCTGGCTCGTGCCCTGGGCACCTCCTTCTTTTGGGTTGAAGTACCCACTCTCGTTGGTTGTTGTGCCGAGGCTTTGCTTTCATCTTTTTCTATACGGGGACAATCTTTAATATGATGCCCTAACACTCCGCGGGAAAAGCATGAAAGATCTCTCTGGGGACAATTCATCCTAACATGACCCGCTTCACCGCAACAAAAGCATTTAATGACAGATCTATCCGTATCACACCGGCCTTGGTGTGTCATTCCGCACCTCCGACAGTCTCTTGGTGTGCTCGACTGAAGGCTAAATGCCTGAGAGGATACACGTGGGGTACTCTGAGATTGAATTCTCCTCTGATTGGAAAATCGAGAGAACCGCTGTGTTGGGGTAGACATCATCCTCTCAGTTCGTAGGCGTTTTGACATGGGTTCATTTTCATCAGGAATGGATAGTTCATACTCACAACGCCGAGCGTATTCGACTATTTTGCTAAAACTGGAACCATCACGACTTATCACAAAACTTCGAATCTCCTTCTGTAGTCCTCCAATAAAATGTTCGATCTTATCCTGTTCGGAGCTCAAGAATCGTTGTGCGAATCGTGCCTTCTTGTTGAATTCAGTTTCATAATCAAGTATAGTCATCTTACCTTGCTTCAGATCCAAAAACTCCTTTTCAAGACGCCTTTGTAGGTCAACAGGGCAATATTGTTCAAAGAACTTTTTCTGAAATTTGTCCCACGTCAAACTATTACGTGTCGTTGCGTCTAAAGACTCATACGTGACATTCCACCACACCAGGGCTTGCTCTATGAGCATCACAGATGCATATTTTACTTTATCGCTATCCAGTACCTCGGTAATTCGGAACACCTTTTCCGTGTTCTGGATCCATTGCATTGCCATTTCGGGATCTGATTGCCCCGCATATTCTATAGCACCACAGCTTCTGAAAGTTTTAAATGAAACCCGGTAGGACTTAGGTTTCAGTGCATCTCTGACTTCGTTTGAATGCTTACCACGATTACCAGGTTCCATGGGATTGTTTTGATTACGTTCTTCCTCAAAGCGTCGCTCCATTTCTTGACGCTGTCGTTCCAGAGCCGTAATCAATCGATCATCCAAAAGTTTCAATAGTCGTTCTGTACGAGGGGACAAAGTGGGATTTTCATCGTTCTTGGCACCTTCTGGAGCATTTATATTCAGTGTGGGGTTGTTTTCCCCAACATTTTGTGTTTGACTTTGCTTATCATGCTCCTACATTTTGCTGAGAAAACAATACATCTATGTTAAACACATTCCTACCCTTGGTCCCAACCCAACTTAGGTCTCTCCTACAGGTCCGTATCCCGTATAAATCATTGCCTAGTTACTATACGATCTCAATGCCTAGGTTTAAGTCTAAATACCATTTCTGATATTCAGATCGCTTAAACCGTGGCTCTGATACCATAATTGTAACATCGGTTACGCTAATTCTTAATAAAAAGAAACTATTTATCTAAAAGATTTTCCATAAAACAATCTCCAAGCAAATACATGATATATGTTATAGATTTCCACCAAAAATAA